CAGACATGGATGCAAGAGATTGAGTGTATCGATGGCTGAAATAGAAGAAAAGATGAAAAGAAAACAGGAATTTCGATGGGTTTGTATTTCCTCATGGGTGTCGTTCCTCCTACAGTCTCCGACAGCGTCTGTATCAGCCTACCTTCTTTGGTTATTTCCTGGCTTAGTGTCTATCTTTCTACTCGCTACTCTTCTTCTCTCTCTTGTCGACAGAGAACTTGACAGTCTGTTATTCTTGTACTTGACCGTGGGCCCACATCTCAATAAATGTGTGACTGGTTAGCGATGCTAGCGGTAAGTAGATTTTAAGACGTTTTTTCACGGGAATCGATCATGCATGTGTGTCTGTGCCATTCTGCGCGTGCGGGGTGTGTAAGTGTTTCTGTGTGTTTTTTTGTGTATACGTCTCACGGGGAGAGAGAGAGAGAGAGACAGAGAGAGAGAGAGAGAGAGAGAGAGAGAGAGAGAGAGAGAGAGAGAGAGAGAGAGATGTACGAAAATGCATGTTTTGACTGACATGGGTAACGCACGAGATCTGCTTGTGTGTGTGTGTGTGTGTGTGTGAGAGAGTGAGAAAGAGAGAGAGAGAGAGAGAGAGAGAGAGAGAGAGAGAGAGCAAGGATAATGTGCATCGCAGGGAGGCCGCACAGGCTAAAATCACCCAGCCACAGTGGCCCACTGTAGTTGTATGTAAGCAAGGGTGCGACAGAAAGATGGGGCCACCGACAAATTTCTGTCATGCCCCGGTAGCTCCCTCACAGGCCTAGGGGGAATGCCCCAAAGCGCCTCCAACGGAATAAGGGCGTGCCGAAAAGATGGACGGTATCGGTAGGGGCATCTCGAAAATTTGTCCGCTGGCTTTTGACGGTCATCCGGTGGGGGCATCCCGCAAATTACTGACCGGTACCAGTAGGGGCGTGACGAAAAGATTTGAGGCTCAAACGACACCGGGGTCTTTTGGAAAATTTCAACCCTGCTCAGAGGGGCGCGACAGGGTAAACCGGTCGTCGGAGGGGCACGACGTGAATTATCGCAAAATAAGAAGGGCGCCAGACAAATTTTCCCTTTTTTTTTTTCCTGATTTTATTTCAATTTTGGTAACGAATTTCGATGTGACCCTGAGGCAAAAGTTGTTCAGTGGCTCGGACGGGAGCGCCGATAGCGGGCGGGTAGCATAGCGCTCCGTTACCGGCATCGCTCCGCGATTTTCGCGAGCGCTGTTCGCCCGCCAACCTCGCCGTCACGATGGGGAGCGGGAATTGGGTCGCGCGCGCTCCAATTCGAGAACGTGAGGCTTTGACCTCTTCGTGTTGTCTCCTTGAACAGTCCATTACCAGGGCAGGGTAGGAAGTGACCGCTAAGCCATAGCCTGCTCCCGGGGCACGGGTGTTATCTTGTGAATTGGAAGGTGTGGTTCAATTGTCTTCTCGCTCATGTAATGATGGTCAAACAGTGCCAGCTCTTCGCAGGGTCCCTAAGTTACCCTAGGTCAACGTGGCGAAGCACCTACCCATCGAAGTCACAGTAATCGTCGTCGAAGCAGGTAACTTCCGCCGCGGTAACTAGCAGGAGTGTAATCACGAATGTTCTCGCAGATTTATTGTTAATTCGCCATCAGAGGAAGGAAGGCGGTACAAAGGCATTCCGTTTGGACGTAGTTGTTTCCTTGAAATTCGGGGAAACTGGGGAAAGAATAGATTACCGAAATTTTGAGAGTAGACACAGAAAATTCTCGGACAGAGGAGGATAATAGTAGTTGGTATCTCAGTAACTTCAACCACATAGGGCCGCCCGCTAATTAGGGATCAGATAGGCCAATCACTGGAATAGTGGTTCACAACAAAGGGGAATGCCTGCTTTTGATTCACGGTAATAGGAGATGAAGGGGATGCAAGGGCATTAGGGATAGTTACCGTGCTCGGAATCCCCGGTTATCACCGAGATCCGACCCAGTAACTCTACCTAAGTCTAAATGGAAGGGAAAATCTGGTTAGGACAGATCGGTAGCGGAGGCCTCTCTAGTCACCTCGTAATGAGGAAGGTGAGTCCAACACAAATAACGCTGCTACTGCGCGCGACCAACCTAAGCATGTAATATCCGAGTGATGAATTTCCTCCATAGCCGAGGTCTCATGATCCGCGTAGTGCTATTTCAATTATTGTGGTATATTCGCGGTAGTGTACCGACGAGTGACCTGAAGTTCCCACAAAAGGAGGAAGGGCGACGATAGTATGCTCCAAAGCTCGTTACTTCTCTTCCCAGTCGGGAGATCCTCAGCAAGTCCCACGAGATTCAAACACCCGCGAGTAGGTGTAGGACCAAATCGGGCTATTATCCGGAGTCTATGATATCTCAGGGGCAAAACCACACTGATCACGCTCTATCCCTACGGATAAGTACGGCCACTCATTAAGGAAGCCGGCACCGGGAAGGGGTCTTACTTGCACTCACGGATCCAGACTCACGGATCCAAAAGCGGTAACGGGGAAGTAAGTGATTTAGGGGAAGTTGCAGAGCCGATTTCCCCCCCCCCCCCGGCTTCTACCGGGGTCCGACACGGCAGGTCCGCCTGGTGTAAGACAAAGAGGTGCAGCCCTGGACACAGATCAGAAGTAGTGGCATCTTCCTCGCCACCTCAGGGATCAGTAAGCAGAGCGGTAAGATCGAGTACCTATTCAAACTTCTGCATACACCGACCCTCCGAAGAGTTCAAGGCAATCTGGACTCATCAAACTTGTGATTTTCACACTCACATTAGTAGGTGGTATAACACTACACCCATGATTGATCCATGATACA